GTCAGCGGTGGTGGCGGAGGCAAAGCAGTGGGCGGGGCAAACATATTGGGGTGATGCGCGTGAGCAGGGGCCTGGAGGGCGGGGGTGAAGCTGTGCAGGGGGCTGTGGCTGGGCAGGGAGAGGGGGAACGGGGAGGCCGAGGGGTGGTGGGAGAGGTGCGAGGCGGCGGGCTGAGTCTTGGCCGGAGTGCTGCTCCTGCTGCTGCTGTCGAGCGAAGGGAGAAACAGGCACAGGTGAGCATCTGCGTCCCCACTGCCCTCCCTCTGCTGGGCCTCTCTCTCCCCACCACACAGCCCGGCAGAGACCACTGCCCAGCGCCATGCACAGGGCTGTCCAGGCAGTTCTCTGCTGAGATAGCCCCCGTTGCTCCTGTGGCCCGGCCTGCCCTGCTCTGTCTCCTGCCGCCCCCACCCTCCTCGCCACACTTCCTGCAAAGCAGCCAAGGAACAAAATGGAACAGAACCACCACGTGGGTCGCCTCTGTCTGCTACCTTAATCCCAGGACCTCAGGAAGAGGTGGGCCAGGTCTTGTGCCACAGGAGTGGCTCCGGGTTAGGAGCTGGCCCAGCCCTGGGAGGAACCTGCATGCTTAGGTCTATTCTTCACCTGTCCCTGACCCCACCAGGCTTCTAAAAGGAAAACAATAACAAGCACAAGTCTCAGGAGCCCACCGGGCTCAGGGTCACCCTGGACGGCCCCTCGTAGACCAACCAGGAGGACCTGGCTCTCCCCACTGGTTTCTTCTCTGACTCACAAATGAGGAAGCAAATCTCACTAAAAAAATGCTCAACCCAGCACCGGTCTCAGTCTCCTGGGCCTGAGGAGACAACCCACCCGCGACACCCCTTCTCTCCTCTGAGTCTCCACCTTCAGGGCTCTCGGAGGCACCTTGGCCTCCACTCCCTGGCGAACACCTTCAACCGCTTCTTCTTCTTTCATCTTTTGAGATGGGGTCTTTCTATGTGCCCTAGGCTGGTCTCCAGCTCCTGGGTTCAAGCCACCCTCCGGCCTCAGGAGCTGGGACTATAGGCGCATGGCAT